CGACTTTCACTGAAAAGTAGCTGACATAGACGGGCATGTTATAGGCTACTTTTTTATTTTAATATTGCGTGGACGAAGTCGCGGACATTTTGGCTCTAACAGTTTTCATTACTATAGCAACTTTTGTGCTTTGCTGCTATTGGACTATAGCTTTTGTCATGTTTCCGTACGTCGTGTTTCAACAATTTATTTAACCTTTAAATTTTAAGATTTTAAAATTTTTTTCACCGTTGTTCTATCTGTTGGCTATATTATAATTTTGCGTGGTTTGCTGAGAGGTAGTTTGACCGTTGCGACAGATAATAGAGAGCGGGCTGCCGCTGTCGACGGTGTGGGTGCGCGTGGAGCGCGCGCGCGCGGCGGCGCACTGGCGGGCGCAAGGGCCGGCGGGCGGCGCGGCGGGCGGGGCGCTGGACGACGGCGGCGACCCGCAGCGCGCGCCGCAGCCGCACGACGTGGCCGACCTGCTGCGCCCCGTCGCGCTCCCGCACCAGCTCTTCCGCCTCTCCGTGCGCATGCTCATGCTCGCCAAGGTACCGTACTCCACAGCAGCCTCACAGCAGCCTCACAGCAGCCTCGTCTATCTAAATGTGTTTGATTGAATATTGTGTTCAAAATTAATTTTAAACCACTGATACAATAAACGGTAATGTTGGTATGGTGACAGTAAAATCGTGTCTCTACTGGATTTTGAACTATAAAAGTATTAAGTGTTCCCGTACGGCGTCATTCGCATTATATTAAAAAAAAATGGCACTGTTTACATTTCTTCATTTTTTTTGTCTTTTAGTTTTTGTCCCTTTGTTATGTGACAATTTTATTTAATTTATTCAACAACTAAATTAAATTATATGAAAATATATAGCCTATAGCGTTGTGTAAGTGTAGCTTTTTATAAAAAAAAAGGAAAATTCAAAAATATACTGTGATTACTGACATCTTACATAAAAAAAATGTGTACGCTGTATAGATATTAATATAGATAGAGTAACGACGTCGTGAAAATGACATCACGAAATAAATAAATAACATTTTATTGCCATAAAAAAACAATGTGATCAGTCAAACCGAGAGGGGTTGAGAGGCGGTGTGAGTAGTGTAGTGCGTGCGGCGCGCAGGTGCCGCTGCTGTGCGGCGCGGGCTGGTCCGCGCTGGGCGGGCGCGCGGGCGCCGAGTACGAGTGCGGCGAGGAGCTGCTGGGCGCGCTGGGCACGGCGCGCGCGCTTCCGCCGCGCCACCCCGCGCACCTCGCGCCCGACGCCGCGCAGCGCCTGCTCGCGCTCTTCCTCGACCCGCCGCACTACTTCACCGACGAATACGGTACACGCACCACGCTACGCACCATTACACAGAGACTACTGCTCACTGCACAAATCACTTTGAACCGCCAAATAAAGCGGCGCATACTCACTCAACTGAAATGTTTTGACATTACTATTTTACAGACAAATTTGAAACATTTGTCAAATCCCTACACTACATTATTAATTTAAAAGAAAGTAACTATACTGTTGTTGTACAATCGCGGAAATTCGCGGTGTTTCATTTACAGTAAAATTGCCTTGTTTCTTGCAACAATATTAAGTTCACTTCTTATGCAATAAATCAGATATCAATAAGATGCGCAAATTATATGATATTAATAAAAAGCTGAGTACTAACCGGTTTCATTTCGTACATTTAAAAACTGTATCCTATTGGTTGTTGTTCTCACATCTCAAAGCGAACATAAAGTTCTAGCAACACACTATCAAACTCAACAATTGTACATTTGTCGCGTGTCGTTTCGTCTGTATATATATACTAATATTGTAAAGAAAATTTGACCATTAAAAAGCTATGTTATCAGTGAGTAACATAGGCTACTATTGAATAAAACGGGCGAAGTGGCGAGCAAGAGGTAGTACTAGAGGCAGAGGCGGTGTGCGCAGGCTACCTGTCGTGGGTGGACCGGCTGTGGGAGGCGTGCTGCGGCTGGGCGCGCGGCGCGCGGCGCACGGCGCTGCTGTGCTGGCGGCTGCGCTGGCTGCGCGCGCTGCTGCTGGCCGCGCACGCCGCCTCCGCGCCGCACTCCGCCGCCGCCGACGCGGAGATACGCCGCATGCGCGCTGACGCCAAGTATGCACATCTTTTCGCTGTTTTTTCTGCTTTTTTAGACAAGACAACAACAGCTAACCGAAAAGTCAAAAATGTATGTAAATAACATTCGATAAGTGACATGGTTGTCACGTGGATTAAACACATTTTATCAATTCCACTAGCTGTATCGCAAGTCGACATCTTTCTAGGGAGGCTGTACAGATATATATCTATGACATTTTGCTGATTATGGTTGATCTTTTTATTTTATTTTAAGTCAACATCTACAGACTCTTAGTCCGATTTCTTTTTGCACAGTTTATATCTTTCTTTTTTCTCTTTTGTTGCGTAATCCTTCTGCTATATTAATGAGTTCCTTTTTTATATTTATATATATTTCTTTTTTTCCATTATTTTTACTAATACATTCTACATCGCTTTTTTGATTGGATTATGGTTGTTAATGGCTACGAACTAAATAATAATAGTGAGCGGGAGTGAAACATGGATTTGGCTGACGTGCAGGAGCATCCTGCGGCGGCTGGCGGGCGCGGCGCCGCTGGCGTTCGCGGAGTGGGCGCGGCTGGAGGCGGCGGCGGGCGGGCTGACGGCGGCCGCGCGCGCCGCCCGCCACGCGCTGCGCGCCGCCATCCGCGACCGCGCTGTGCCGCACCACCACGTGCTCTACATCGCACGGTACCTTACTTCTAAAAGTACATTCTGTTCTTTAGTTTTTTCTTTTATAACATAAGGTTCCCAACGAGCAAGCGGCCACCTGAAGATGACGAAGCGACCGCTGCCCACAGACATCCGCAATTGCAGATGCATTGCCTACCCTTATCCGACGGAGGATGAGTCGCACATAAGAGGATATTTCCCCTTCCTATGCATCTCCTACACCGATTAATTATTTTATCTCCATCGATTACTCTGAAATTTATATTCCGATTGATGTGATTCCTTTTTTGTTTTATGCAGAATAGCTGCAATTCGGACCCACTTATTTCAATTTTGAATATTATCCAGTTGTTTTTAGAAGCATAACAAAGATTGGAATCTTTTGTCTTCAATGATTTTTTGTTAAATATTTAATTATTTACGATAAATAAAACCATGGTAATAAGACAATAATTATATAGGTATCTAAGACTTCTTTTGCATAGGCTGTTTAATTTTTTTGACGATTCGACGTCAGCACAAATATCCCTAACATCCATATAAGACGTCATGTTAAATTGAATATTCCAATTTGTTTGTTATATCAGGGTGGCGTGCGAGGTGGGCACCACGGAGGGCCAGCCGGGGCTGCTGGGCGTGACGGCGCTGGTGGCGGCCGTGCTGCGCCACTCGCAGCTCCTCGTCTGCGGCGCCAAGCAGCAGGACCTCGTGTACGCATTGGAAATTGTAAGAGTCCCTCCCTTCTCCCCCCTTTTCCACCTGTAGCTGACAGAGAAACACTGACATACACTCGCAAGAGCAACAGAGACGGAATGTATATTAGTTGCTAAGATGTGTGACAAAGACGAAATGTATACAAGTCGTTAAGGTGTGGGACAGAGATGGAATGTATACAAGTACCTAAGAGGTGTGACAAAGACAGAATATATACTAATCGCAAAGAGATGTAACAAAAGTTTTTAAAGCCAATATTAAAATCATTTATAGTGCTGGTTTAGGACATGGTAGAGCAATCGCCCAGGGTGTTTGATAAAAAGGAGCGTCGAAGTTAGCAGTTGATATACGGTTTCATATAAGATTATCCCGTCCTTCCATTCATGGTAAAATCGGGATGTTTTAGAAATCTCGCCAAGAGCGCTAGTAACACTAAAACTTTTAATAAAAAATATTAAAATTGATACAAAAAAACATCTTATTACCTTGGTACTTACTAAAATTATATACATATCTTTTGTTGACACTTTCCTCGCGTTCCATTTTTTTAATACTGTTTTCTTCATATAGGCAAAGGCCTTTATGGGCAGTATGTCACCTAGTCAGAATGCAAACTGCGAAAGAAAATCGTGTTCTCAAATATAAAGCCACGTTGGCATTATGACCTTGACTGACGATAGTTTGTATCAGTGTGAACAGAAATGCGACGAGCTGCAGCGCAAGTACAACTCGGGGGCGGGTAAGCAGAGTAAGCAGGAAGAGGAGCAGGAGGAGGTGGAGGAGGAGGAGGAGGAGGAAGAGAGGGAGATGAAGAGGGAGGAGGAGTATGAGGAGGAGGAGGAGCTGGGCGCGCTGCTGCCGTCGCGCGCGGAGTGGGGCGCGGTGCGCGTGCTGCTGTACACGCCGTGGCGGCGCGCGCGCGTGCTCACCTCGCTCCTAGCGCAGCCCTACACCGTGAGTCATACACACACACACACCTCATTATGTTATCCTACACACAGTATTACCTCAAGACCTCACACTTGAGACATGACTAATATAGTGACCAACAAACGACCTCATGCTACCTCATACACATAAATACAATTCATAGTAATAAAGAGATCTCATTAGGTAACGCTACATTGTCAGTGAAACCATAAGACCTCATACCAAAAACGACCTCATTAACCTCATACATAAAGTAATAAAGGAACATTCTTATTAGGTATCTACAATGTCAACGTGACCACAGTACTGTTGGGTTTTGATCTTTTTTTTTAAATAAAACCATTATACTGTCCAATTAACCTTAATTTATTAACAAACTCAAATTAACATATTCAGAAGAAAATGTTTTGTGCAAAATTCGTTCGGCGCCATTTAGGGGCCATTAGAGTTTATAAAACTTACATTTAACTTATAAATTATACCATTTTGTACAAATGTAACCTGAAGTCTTCATATATGTATACTAGCTGTTCGCGTGCGGCTTCATCCGCATGAAATTATAAATTTATTGTTTGCATTTGTCAAATTCTTAATTGCAAATGTCAAAATACCAATTACCTTACTATGGCAATCTTCCTTCCTTGATGTTGGCAGCAACTTATGGTCTCTTTCCCACATTAAGGTTTTTTTTAATGTCGTGAAAATATATAGTCTAAAACATGACGTAAGTGTAGAGCTTTTTATTAAAAAAAGAATAATTAAAAAATATGCTGTAATTGCTGACATCTTAGGCAACAAAGAAGTGTGTGTTAACGCTTTATTATAATAGTATAGAAGATAGATGTATAGTGTGATGTGTGTGTGCAGGGCGAGAGCGCGGCGGGCGCGCGCTACTGGGAGCAGCAGGCGACGGCGCTGGCGGCGGCGGCGGGCTCGGCGGCCGTGGCGCGCTCGCTGGCCGCGCACTGCCCGCACAGCCTCTACCTAAACATCGGTACCATCTCGCTACTCAATATGCATACTATATGTGTACTTTCAAATACATGTCTATTGCTGTCTTTGCCCACGACTTTGTCCGCGCTGTATGTATGTATTCCTTGGTAACTCAACTTGGGAATTAACCGTTATGCGGTTATCCCATGTGTTACTCCACACTTTGTTCTATATCTGTGCCAAATTTCACGTAGATACGTTCTGCAGTTTAGTCTACAAACTTTAAAGAACATCCATCCATACATTTAAACTTTGACATCTTACTAAAATCTAAATGCGAAAATTTAGATGGATAGATGTAATCTAAAGCAGCTGAACGGATCTCGATAAAATAGCATATATGTAGTAACATAGTTTAGAAAGACACAAAAGTTAATTACTTTTTTTTATTCCACGCCAATGAAGTCGCGGGTTAAAGCTAGTTTATAACATTAGTATGATGCATTTGTCCAGTGGGTGCGTCAGCGGCGCTGTGGGCGCAGGCGGAGGGCGCGTGCGGCGCGGGGGGCGCGGCGCGGCGCGGCGCGGGCGGGGCGCGCGGCGCGGCCGTGCTGGCGCAGCTGCTGCCCGCGCTCGTGCGCGCGCTGCACTCCGAGTGGGCGCGCAAGGGTACTACGAATACTCTTAGAACACCCACACCTGAAACTAACAGAGCTCGAGCTCGCTTTAACATGTTCGCATTGTAAAATTCGCACACGCAATACCACGACCGCACAGGTGACTGCCGTCAAGTGGAAGCAAAGCCGCTTCTCGTGAGTGTGGTGCCAGAAATCTAATATTAGTCCCTATACTTTACTAAATTCCAATAAGACTGGATTTGAAGGTAGATGAGACGCCTAGCAAAGGAAAATCCTCGTTATTTTTTTTTTTATATAACAAGGTGGCAAACGAGCAAGCGACCACCTGAAACCGCCAAAATAGCGAAGCGACCGCTGCCCATAGATATCCGCAATTGCAGATGCGTTGCCTACCCTTGTACGACGGAGGAGGAGACGCACATATAGAGGATATTTCCCCTTCCTATGCATCTCCTCCACTGTCAAATCCACTTCCTCTTCCCAACCTCTCCTTATAAGAAAAGGGTGGTAAAGAGAAATGGACCTAAATTAGGCCGCCGGCACCACACTCATCGGACGAAACACGGCATTGATTCCATTTCACGCCTGTCTTCTATGTGGTCGTGGTATTACTGGGGGCGTGCCAGCCCTGCAGTGCTAAGATGTTAAAGCGGGCACTACCACTGTCAAAATATAACTGTTACAGAAAGTATAGAAAAGTTGCTTCTTTACTGCTTATAAAAAAAAAACATTGAAAATGATCGATTGACGTGGTACATAAGAAAGTGTGTTATGTTGGTGTCAGAGAGCGAGTGCCTGGCGCGGGCGGTGCGGCGCGCGCTGGGCCGCGAGGCGGGCTGCGGCTGGGTGGGCGCGGCGCTGCGCCTGGAGGCGGAGGGGCACGCCGCGCGCCCGCGTCTGCCGCACGCGCTCTACGCCGCGCTGCACCACGCGCCGCACCACAAGGTGCTCCGCCAAACACACAACATCATAACTAGAAACACTATCATTTGATGACACTGAATAAAAAAAATAGTAATATACAAGTCGTCAAAATGTAAACATAAAAAACTAATTATGAAAATCTGTAAAACAGAACCGCATACCAACCAACCAATCCCGGGGTCGTACCACTATTATACATGAGAAAGTTTAGATGAATGTTTGTTATTTTATATTTCAAGAAAGGCTGAACTCTCTCAAATTTGACACAAATGTAAAACATAGTCTGAAAGAACAAATTGGTTATTAAAAAAGCTTTCAATCAATAATAATGAACTAATGGGGAAGGGATTGGCTTCTGTGACACAGGACAATCTACTACAGGAGCCATGCTCACATTGTATAAGAAAGTGACAATATAGCATTATCATTTCCATGCAGACGGAATCGCGTGCGTTGTCTAAAGTGTATATATATATACAACTAATTTAATTGATACTGTCGCTTTAAACTCGGAGCAACACTTCTCGTCAAGTCTCGAGTTGCGCGCCAATCTATCCATACTTGTAGTGACATTGACAGCTGTCAGCTAGGGACGTGACGTTTATGCCGATAATCTAGAGTTGCGCCAATTCTATAGCACGGTACTCATTATTCCTAACAGTATATATATGTGCAGTGGATGTACGTGCGCGGCGCGGTGTGGTGCGGCGGCGAGGCGACCTCGCTCGCCGACACGCTGCTGGACAAGCTGCTGCGGCTGCACGCGCTCCCGCACGAGCTGCAGCCGCTGCTGGACGCGCACCACGACAGACAGAAGAAACACACGCGCTCGGAACATGGTGAAGGGAGCACGGAACATGGTGAAGGGAGCACGGAACATGGTGAAGGGAGCACGGAACATGAGGAAATTGTTCCGAATGAAGAAAAGATTGAAAATTACGCGTTTAATGAGCCGTTAGATGTGTTCATGGACCCTCAGGACATTCCGCTGGCGGAGCGCCGCGGGTACGGCGAGCTGCGGGATGTGAACGACGCCTCGGATGGGAGCACACGTGGAGCATAAGTCTCGATGGAACATGTGTTCCATACCGGTATGCTCTACCAGTCAAACGTTAATTTGGCAATTGATGATTCTAGAATGCTTTTTATTAATACAAAATTGAATGTTGACTGTTTGCCTTTCGGAGGCATGTGTACTTAGCCTTGACAGCAGAACTTGGATTACTTAGCTTCCCTTTCAATGCAAATTGTGAATCTATGATACTTTACACCGACTGTTAATTTAGAATCTCACTAACATAGTAATAAGTTTACGGAAAACTGTAATCTGAACTATTAAAATATCAGATTTATGCCAAATGTAATAAAGTTCCTTTGTACAATTTTTTTAATGTAGACATGATTTTATTATAATTCAGTGTTTTTTCATAATTAGTGGAAATGTATGGTGAGATTATAAAGTAACGGTGTATAATGACAGCGACATATCGCGCACATATAGACGCGTTCAAAACCATAATTAAGTATAGATTTTATGTCCCCGCTTGCTTCTATAAATAAATGCAATGTAATAAATAATTCATCAAGACAATGTTTAATGTAACTTAGTGATTAAATAAAAAAAGCCTATTTCACTACAAATGCAATACCGATCTAATGGCACCTAATAATTATTGTTTACGCTATTTAAGTTACAAGAGATCGCTTTTCAAAGGTACAATTAGTAGAAATATAAGTATATCTAACTACAAATGTATACAATCCTACTAAAAATGTATACAATCCACCTACAAATGTATACAATCCATCTACAAATGTATACAATCCAACTACAAATGTATATAATCCAACTACAAATGTATACAACTCAACTACAAATATATACACGAGGATTATGCTCGATTCATACATGGCCAGTACAGTTGGTCAACGCTCTCAAATACTCGACTGGCATCTAACTGGAATAGTGAATATTAACTGGCGCCAGTGATACTATAATATGCCTGGTCTTTGCTATTGTCTAAGTGTACTGATCAAGCGTGAACCAGGTATTAAGCTAAGGAGAAAGTGTAAAAAAAATATGTACAGCTAGTTTTAATCTTTTTTCGGGTAAGCTGCGCTGAGCAGTACTCGCCCCCTCCTCCCGCGTACCTTTACCCCCCGCTACATCTACAGTATATTCTGCGCAGTGAACACGAAACGCACCGCTTTTGCATTACTTAGATGTAGTGAGTTCTCGGTAACATGGTACCCTATCAATGTAGTTTTAAAATCTCAATTTTGATCAACAATTTCAGCATTTTTCAAATCAAATTCAAGTATCAGTAGTTCTTCGACGAAACAGATCTATGTTAAAATAGATGTTTTTGTTTGCAAAATATTTTAATATGCAAAAGTCCCAATTAGATTTGTAAAACGTTGAAAGTAATGTATAAAAAGAAATCTACATAAAAATATATGTACGTCTTATATGTAATTTATGAAGTAATGTTGCGCAAATTTTAAATAGGTGGGCTATAAAAATATACGATGATAATGATTTGTGATGTGTTCGATAACTGAGAGGAATTGAGGCTGAAAAGTATGGCCTACCTATGGTTTATTTCAACTCCAGACCTAAAAAGTGTATTCTATGATAAACTTTGTGGATTTCTAAGTATTTTTATAAACCAATTTTATCCAACATTATATTACCGATAGAAATTAAAAATAGTGTTATGTCCGCCTGTTTTTATTAGTAGTTTTTTTTTTACATTTTTTAGCTCTTGAGGTGAAATAAATTTAATTTAATCCCTGCTCTATGTGTCTATTTATGATAATAAATAAAATACAATGGCACAATTGGTTTTATTTCTATACAAAAGGATAATATAACAAAAATCAAAGCATATTTATATTTAATTCTTTCCATAAGATTTTGGAAATTATAAGAACTTTGTTAAGTAAAATGCAAGTCTCGTAGTCTCTGCTTACACCACTGTGTTACCCGCATAATTGTGTTGTTTATATTATTACATTGGCTATCTTACAAATTGCTTTTTGATATGTATTAACCTGGAAAAGAAGGTCATTAACAAAGTTCTCCAGCAATCTGGTTTTCCCGCCTTATTTTTGACAGGACAAAACGGCGCGGCAAAGCGGCACTGTCATGTTTGGTTTTTAAAACACGTATAAACAAAAGTAACTATAATTAAATAACATTTTGGTGGATGATAACGGTTATTGTTAATTATAATTAAGTATAAGTATAAACCGAAGCTATAAATAAAAGTCTTATTAAAATTATTGTACATACATTCAGTGTTGCTACATATAATTGCGGTGTTGTTTAAATCTGGTCATTGAAATAATTCTACCGATGAAAAATATTCTGAAAGAAGTTGTCAAAGATGACATGTTTTTGGTGGTGCTGTCAGAGTGTGCAGTATCGTTTTGGTCAAAGAGGCCCTGTGTGAAGTATAAGTTCCGAGATAGGGCCCTCTAGCCATAGAGTAGCGGGTGTGATGAGCGCGCGGCTGGTGTGCGCGCTGCTCACGGCGGCGCTGGCTTGCGCGCGCGCTCAAGAGTGCGCTCCCGGCACTGGCCAGCTTGCGCGCCCTTGCCAGCCGATCGTCACCACTACCAGCGAAGACGCCGACCTCGATGAAGAAAGCGATTCTGCACCTTTTATGGTCAGTTGTCTAGTTTAACACAACAAACTGTGAGTACAAATAGACCGTGGCATAAACCATTAAACTATTCAGTGGGCGACATCAATGCAAATTGGTAAGACCAATGAGGCAAATTATGTGAAAGTGCTATCATCATTGCCTCCTATCCTTTTCATTTTAAGAAATAAAGTTCTCAAAAAGTCTAAAATTCAAACACAATTTTCCTTGCATGCACATACATATCTGACGGAAAGATTTCAACTTGACTCCTCTACTTTCTTTTTGACCCTTGATCGGCTGGGCTAAGGAAACTATTCGCTCGAAAATAAAGCATCATTTTATAGTCATCTAAATATATATACATGACAATATAGCATATGGATGTAGATAGTGGTAGAGCACAGTGACGGGTGGCGGTGTGCGGCGTCGCTGGTGTCGCTGCGCACGGGCGTGACGTCTGCGCGGTGCGCGCGCGGGCGGGCGCAGCC